ATTGCTCTCATCTTTTTGTGTTAACTTAAGAGGAAGTTTTTGGTAGAATAAGAATAAAAAAAGCTTAAGAATATCGTACCTGCGCACCTGAACGTTTGCGGCAATCATTTCAGACTGTTACAAAGCCCTCAGCCCCAGCACACAGCTGGTGTTGTTGTCAGAAAAAAAAGGGCCTCCGCCATCGTTAGATTTAACAATTCTTTGAGGCATAATGAGGCACGGCAACTGAATCTTTAGTAGCTTTTGTTGATCCATTCTGTTTTCATCTCACTGTGCATGTTCGCTGCTGATTAGTTTATTGTAGTCCCTGTAAGAACATCATTAAAACACACAGCCTGTAGCGTGAGATAGAAGCCGCTTGATTCCTCATTGATCCCTCTCCCTCACACAGTCGCACTTACTCGTCGCCGCTGCCACTGTCGACTGCTGGAGCTGTTGGCACAGCGACTAAAGCAGAGCAGATGGCTCCTCTTGGTTTTTTTTCAGCCGACTCATTAGAGTAAAGAAACTAAAACCAAACACTGGGCACGTGTGCATGCACAGCATTATTCTGACTTTAAAACTTTAAGATCTTCTTCAGAAGGAATAACTTAGGATGGAATTATGTTGTCCGTAAAACGTAAWGGAGCTTTACGAACTAAGGTACATCACATGTATACACTTTATTCACTCTGATTTATCCRGTGTTTTATTTTTGCAGCAAACCCTGCTTTATTGGGGAGCCCTATACTCCTTCAGTCAGTGCAACTAAAGGCTGAATGTTGGTAAAATAAACTGCATGATGTTATCACAATGCATATGAGTACAAACATTTTGCACCTTTGGACATGCTTTATATCTTATTTATATAATTGATGATGCCTTTATTGTCATTGTATGGAGCACAATGAAATTACATTTATGAATACCCTTTCAAGAAGACACACACAACAAAAACATGGGGGAACAGGTGATCAGGTCATGCGGCAACCAGCAGGGGTCACGCTACCTTTAAAAAGAAAGATGAAATACAACAGGTTAGATGAGGGGAAAAAATAAATAAGCATCATATTATATCAATGAAACATGATAGACTATAATGTTTTTTTTTTTAAAAAAAACTCCTTACCTGAGTAATTGTAAGTATTTTGAGTGGAAGTTGATGATGTGTTTAATCTCAAGTAGTTATTTGCTGCCTAAAGAAAAGTGTCATGTTACACTGATTGGGCAAGTTGGGAGGGTGTCTTGTTGAGACTTTTGAGGGAATAGCGCCACATCCATCCATCCATCCATTTTTTTCTGCCTATCCGGGGTCGGGTCGCGGGGGCAGCAGCTTCAGAAGGGAGGCCCAGACCTCCCTCTCCCCAGCCACTTCTTCCAGCTCCTCCGGGGGAACTCCAAGGCGTTCCCAGGCCAGCCGAGAGACATAGTCCCTCCAGCGTGTCCTGGGTCTCCCTCGGGGCCTCCTTCCGGTGGGACGTGCCCAGAACACCTCACCAGGGAGGCGTCCAGGAGGCATCCTTACCAGATGCCCGAGCCACCTCAACTGGCTCCTCTCGAYGTGGAGGAGCAGCGGCTCTACTCTGAGTCCCTCCCGGATGACCGAACATCTCACCCTATCTCTAAGGGAGAGCCCAGCCACCCTGCGGAGGAAACCCATTTCGGCCGCTTGTATCCGGGACCTCGTTCTTTCGGTCATGACCCAAAGCTCATGACCATAAATGAGGGTAGGAACGTAGATCGACCGGTAAATCGAGAGCTTYGCTTTCTGACTCAGCTCTCTCTTCACCACGACGGACCGGTACAGCGCCCGCTTTACAGCAGACRCTGCGCCAATCCGCCTRTCGATCTCCCGCTCCSTTCTTCCCCCATTCGTGAACAAAAGYCACATCCAAAGGCTTCAAAATTACAACATGGCAGAACCCACAAAAATACAGTATGTGTAGTATATTACCTGCAGTCCCAGGCTGCACTCGTAAGAGATCTACACTCTCAATGAGATTTGCCTGGTTAAATAACAGTAAAGTGGTTGTTTGGTTTTCTTTTTGAGCAGTGGGAAGAACGTGAGACACTTTGTTCATCTCTCTTATTGTCAATGGTGCACCCTTAACGTGATTAAGAATAAAATACTACTGTGCAAGACAATTACATGCAAAAGTACTCATATCAATATCACATGAAATTACTTTATATTTAATAAATGGGCCTTTTGATCAAACTKCACTGACTGAAAACACGCTTAAAGGTTTTGGATGGGAGAAAACATTGAATTATAATATATAGGAYGGGTATTCAGTCCCTATCCTACATGGTTTACTTGTTTCTCTGCTCCAATACAGCTGATTCAGTGACTGAATGACCTATTTAACTTCTGCAGAAGCCTTCTAATCACCCATTTATTCAAACTAGGTATGTTGGAACATAAAACCTCTAAACATGCAGCATAGTTGTTCTTGAGGACGAGGATTGGACCATACACTAGAGACATGTAATGCTACATCACTGGACTCATCTTAGAAAGTTATTAGCAATATAATATGCAACTGTGATGAAGAATAAAAAACTGTCATTATGTGCGAATTTAGTCAAAAAGTTACTGTGGATGTTAACTATTGAGAGACAATTGTTCTTTTTACCTAAGGAAGCACACGATTGATGTGTTTAAACATTACAGACTTCACAAGGAGCTCAAAGGGATAAATACATTTTATTTAATAAAAAACAAAAGAAAATAAAAAAAGGCAATGTGGCAACAACATTTACAAAACTTATGGAAAGCACCAAGGAGGCAAGAAACCTAAACAATAAAGCACTCCAGTGGTGGAGACAGGAGACAGATTATAGAGAGCAGAGGTGAGCAGAAAGTGGAGACACCTGAGCTGATTGCTAATTGRGAACAGGTGAGAGCGGCAAGCTAACTGGAGGAACAAGGAGGGAGCTGACTAAGGATAAATGAATGACGGCACAGGGGACACCACCAAAATCCTAACTAATGAAATACAAGAACACAAACAAATAAGGATCTAAACTAAACTAGTGATGGGCAAATGAAGCTTTTCTGAAGCACTGAAGCTTGCTTTGTAAAAGGGTTCATTACTCGAAGCTTTCCAACACAGCTCTGTTTGGCTCTATCCTGTGGCCAAAAGTGTGAAAAACTGTTTGAAACAACACAAAGTGAAGCGCTTCATCGTGATGGAGTTGACAGCCTTTTAATGAGATATTTCTGTTTGATATCAGGCTGTCATTGTTTTGCTTCAACAGATTTTATTTATTTATTTCTTTTTTGTGGGTGGGAATAAAGTTACAGTTGTTTATGGGTTATTGTAAATAACAAACAAACAAACAAACAAACAAACAAACAAACAAACAAAGAAATAAAGTGTGCCTGTGAATTTTATATTGAATTATTTCAAGTTCAAGATCTTAATTCATTTTTATTTCAAAACAAAATTAACTCTATACACACAAAAAAAACACAAATAAAATGAAAGACAAAGAAGAAAGAAAAGCCTAATTTTATTCTCTGTCCCTTATTTTCAAAAAATAAATTATAGGCTACTAAATTATTTCACACATTCTTAAAACCAATAAATACAGTAGTTGAATTTCAACTTAAGATTTTCACAATCTTCTCTTGACATTTCTCTGAGAATAATTTTGAATATGATCATATATTTAAAATATATTCTGTGTGTGACTGCTTGTCTGTGTTTTTCTAAATACAGGATCAACAAAACCCCTCTGAGAGACTCTTCAGATTTACGTTAAGTCAGATGTTTGATATCTAAAGTTTAGGCCCAGCTTTGAGACAAAATTTTTTACAATTAATTCTTCAAAGTATTAATATTTCCTACAAGTCTGATAAATACAGCCCCTGGTCTTTGATTTTAATTTTGACATGAATGTTTAAAACTTTTCCACTGAACTTTAAAATGTTTGGATAATCCCTTTATTAAATAGAGTCCATACAGTTGATCAGTTTCATCTAATGCTTCGTGCAGCCCTTCCTCCTGAGGACAGGACATCGTCACCATCCGGTTGTGTTTTTTATGAAAATCATCACCTGTGCAACAAGTGAAACTCTGCTCTGGGATKTGTCTCGCGCTACTATTGCTTTCTTTTTAATGATGGACCAAGCTGCACGCAGTTCTGTGTGGGTCTGTGTGTACGCACACTCACACGCACTCGCAGCAAAGGTTCTTTGTGGGTTCGTGACCCCCACTGGCTGGTCCAGACTTATAAACTGTACGACAAACTAAACACATCCGTTTGTTTGCCTCTGTGTCTCACAATAAGTCCTTCACTGGTTTGTTATATTTTGCGCATTTGCCATCAAAACGCACCACGAATCCAGCCAATGATTCACTTCCTCATGAACCTTTGAATCAGGTACCAAAGCAGTGACGTAAGTTCACCACTTTCGAAGCTTCGGAYGTCACTGATCACATGACTTTTACTAAACGAATCAAGCTCCGACACAGTGCTTCTGAAACAGTGTGTTGTTTTTTTCAATACATGCGCCGAAGCTTCAGCTTCAAACTGCCCATCACTAAACTAAACAGAAAGACACGAGTAACAGAACTTAAAACACAGAAGCTGAAATAAGATTGAAACTGAGGGAAAAGAGCTGAACTGAATTAAGAAGGATTGATCARGTAGAAACTGATGAGTAAGAAACTTGATCTAAAACCCAAAGAATCATCATCAAACAATAACTACAATACATGAATACAAGTTCATTAAAAAACTTTCTTTGCTGCTGCTTGTGTGAAATTACCAAGTAGCACATACTCTCCATCCACAAGGGCTTTTTATAATTTCACTCCCCAAGCAAATAATTACAATTGAGATRTATTATTCTGTTCTGATAAGCAATGGAACTTTATACTCTGTCCGTTCATTTTCGGTAAAGATATTAGCCCTCTTGAGCCAACACAAGTGTTAGACAGGTAAAAACTAATGCAAACGGTGGCCAGTGCTCTGGGTTTTGGTGATTGTGAACACTTCCYCTCCCTCTACAGGTTCAGTACCGATGAAGGCCGTACCTGGAACATTCACAACTTCACCAGTACCTCTGTGTTTGTTGATGGACTCCTGAGTGAACCAGGAGATGAGACCCTGGTTATGACGTGAGTACAAAAACCAACTTTTCATGCAGGTACTCTTTAATGACACAACTGCTCCTGGAAAACCCAATTATACACTGCATGTTAACAACTTGAGCCAATCAAAATGATCTATAAGACCAAGAAAAGGTCTTTAAGTTATGGGGATCCAAATAAAAAGGAAGGAAGAAAGAAAGTTCCATACTTACATTTAAGTGTTAGGTCTCTCAGAATAAACACCTCTGTAAAGTAAAGCTAGTGCAGGCGGAAAGGTGGAAAAAGAGTCTTCAGTTGAGAATCATCTTTCTTTATGCAGCTCTTCCTCTCTCCCTATAGTTCAAAAAAGCTCCAAACAAATCTCACTCAACAGGAGTTTAGTCCTATTCTACTGGGTAAAAATCTGTGATTTTTCTGCTTGTTCTTCTTATTTTGTTGAACCTGAKCCTGTCTGAAAAGACCTGATTGACCATATTCTCTTTTTATGGGCTGGATTTTCTAAAGCCTGGAAGAAAAGTCGACAAGCTTCTTTTAGATATGAGCAAAAAATGCTCCCCCCCCCCCCTTTCAGTCAGACCACTGAAATTATATGCTAAAAGGTTATGATGGAATTTCCTGTAGAATAAAGACAAAAAAGATTACATGTCTACCCGAGTACGTAGAGCTGCCATCACACTTTCTGCTCTCTGCTTGGTTCTAATGAGTTATCTGACAGGCTCGACCAAGCTGCACACTAAATTTAAGAGGGCTCGAGTTCCTCTTTCACCACAACAATTCCTTCGCGATTTGTTGGAGCGAGGCACCCAATTTCGTGGAGCTAACAGAGGCTGGTCTCACACCTGATTTCCCTCAAAGCCCTTTTCTCTGGCTTGACCTCTAAATTGCTGCTGCAGAAGAGGTTGAAGGGAAAAGAATCCCKTTCTGCCACATGGCCTTCCTTCCTTCCTGTTGTTTCTCCGCTGACATTTTACCTTTACATTTCTGATTTTGTGTCAGTATGTTTCGAACCACTAAGTATTTGCCAGCTAGCACCAGGGATGAACCAATAAAGTAGTAAGTAAGTAGTAAGTATTAAGCAAAACAGCCTTTATCTTTTATGCACTATTGGAATATGATCCAGAAATAATGCTACACAAGTTAAACAAGTTATTTGTAGGACTTAAGTCCTATCTTTTAAGTAATGGTGRCTTTGTTGAGCTTTATTGTATTTTTAGCCACACCAGAAGCTTTGCACTTAATTTTGTCTTTTCTCAGWGATGTATTCACTTATTCACTGCCTGATTTAATTTGGGAAATTTGGTCTTTACATGCTACCTGGCCTGTTGCCCAAGGTTTCTCGTGAAGAAGACTTCAGAACGACTAATTATCAAACCGTCAAGCTAGCATGCTAACGTCATTTTACATCCCACTGTCTKCAAGACAGTTTACATGAAGATCCTCTGGAGCAAAGTTTGATGGATGCAGTTAGGAGTATCATCGTCATTATTATTTTTTTTATTTGAACAATTGTTTTTACAGGGTTGATCGATTATAAATCATCCAAGTTCAATATTTTATATGACAAAACTTGGATGGATTTATTGTAGCTTTTCTTTATTCCATATGTGGTCAAAATTAAACACCGCAGCTCTAATAAATACATATATTCTCCCAAATCGCAACAAGAGGTTCTGATGATTCTGGGACATTTTAAATTGAATCTGATGTCAAAGCTGAAGTCTATTAACTTCTCATTAATAATCATGATTGACTGCACCTGGTATTTTCTCTTTGCCAGCATTTGTCCAAGAGAATGTTTTAGACAATTTACGCCAACTTCTGAAATTTGTTGACTATATTGCAAATAAGTTATATAGTGAACAATTTGTTAGCATTATATTATGTACATGCCTAAAAGAGGCTTCCAGTTAATTTTTTTTATTTTATTTCAATGTAGATGTTTCCAAATTACTTAGGCAATGATTATTATAATCAAAACTCAACTCTTGTTTTGAATAAATTAGAAA